CTGTTTTCTTTTACTCTTGCTCGGTAATGGTTTTTGTCTCAAATACGTCTAAGATAATCAATATCACATCTTTAAATATCACTTTATATTGAATATTTTATCCTAATTGGTATGTGTCAGGTCAAACTGTGGCTCAAGCAGTGGGGTGATGGCACTGCGAGATCTGCCCCAATTTTACAGCCCATGTGCTTTTGAATGTTTCTAAAACAAAAATGTTGAAGATAATATGCTTTATGCCTATGCTCATCTCTTTAGCAAATTTGAAGTTTTTTTTTTTTTGGTCTCCAAATTTGAAGATCTATGTATAATCTTTGGGGTACACCCTAGGCTTTGACTTAGAACCCCAAGTCAGAGTTTTTGAAGAGGGTATAATTTAAATATTTATAATTCAACATGTTTCATTCCGTGCAAGTTAGAGTTTGAACCAAGTAAGTGGAATTCTTTTTAATAATTAGGGTATTGACAAGATTAAATACAAGACCTCTTGCTCTGTTACCATGTTAAACAACCATCTACTCTAAAAAAAATATAATTTAAATATTTTATACTACAACAAAGTTTTTTATTCAACTCAACTCAATAAAACTATTATTCCAATTATTTGTAGTCTATTATATAAATTATATTTTTCATATTGTGTTCTATCATAACCTTACCTTTGTTAAGTTGTGAGTTACATTTTTTTTAATATTACATTCAAAGTTAATTTTGTTCTACATTTATCTCTCGAATTACCATCAATATGTATTAAATCTCTCTTCCTCATGCATGCATTACTAGATCTACTATAAACATAAACAAACCACATAAGTTAATTCTTTCTTAATCTATTTTCTATTAGCGTTACTTCTACAATTTTGTAAATGTATTCATTCCTAATTTTTTTGTCATAAATATACTTACCAAAAAAAATGTTTTTTATCATGAATTTTAAAAATAAAAAATCAGATATAAATAATATCTTGCATGTGAAAAAATAAAATTAGATTTTTAACTTTTATCTTGCATGTGAAAAAGTAATAATGCTGTTTGACTTAATTTTATTTTTGACCACTATTCATACTGGGGAAAGAAATTTGGTGAGACTCGAACCTTGCACCAAGGGACACAACGGGAAAGATACAAACCCCTAGGCGCTATTTGGACGTATAGAGTGAGATTGTGGTATACTATTAATTAAATGATAGTGATTAATTAGATTAATAAATTAAATCTAAATAATATTGCTCACAAAAAAATTATCTATGTCACCCCCAATTCGAAATACGAAAGTCATAGCGAGACTTTATAACCGATATCGCAAAGATGCAAGGTCAATTTTTTTTGAGTACTACTATGTGAACTGAATTTATTGAATAAATTTGATGTCTTGAATCTTGATCGCTCACAATAATTGAATTGATAGTGAATCTTGTATTTCATGGAATTCTCTATTAATATAATTATTGTTATGAATTAAATTCATAAATTAGATCCAAAATAATATAATTAATTTTTTTAAATAAAGTATATTGGGTATATTAGGTAATAATTGTGGCATTTTTGAAAGTATAAACTAACTACAAGTGGTAATTATGACCATTGAAGATCTTAATCATTGGAACACCAAAAGCAGTACATGTTCATCCTTCAACCAGATCAACAGCTAAACAAAGTTTCACAAATCTCGGAGAAAACTTGAACAATGATCTCATGATAAGAGGATGAATTCAAAGAAAGAAAACGTAGTAACAGCCTCTCAAGATCTTCAGCTCCGAAGATCTGTTTCTCCACGATCATCTCCACCATTGATGTCCTGAAGTCACTGTATGGATCGCTCGAACTCTTCTCCACTGCATAACTCTCTTCAACTCTATCATCGGCAAGAAACGAAAATCCTTCCATTATAGAACCCAAATCTGCGCCTCTTCTCCGGCGGATCTTGTTGGTTTTCCGGCGGGTGTTGGTGGTTTTGCCGAAATGGCTGTAATAAAGATCTGTTGAGCTCAAGGGTGCTACAGAGCTATCTTGGGCTTCATTCTCTGCGGCCAAGTGGGTATGACCCTTTGTGGGTCTCCGGCGATTTGTGCAGGTTTCCCGGCTAGTTTTGGAGGTTTTATGGTGATTGTTAGTTGTTTTCGGGTGAGAAGTAGCAGAGTCGCTTGAATCTGCCAATACATAAGAAATGTCTTTATCTGATTTTCTCTCTTTGACAGATGGGTGGTGACACATCTCAGCTCTCAGGCTAGGTTTGGTGGTGTTCCTGCTAATCGTAGCCGTCTTTGGGCTTAATTCAAGAAGTGTATCAGTTGAACTAGGTGGTACTTCGAGTGCGGAACGACCCATTTCGGAGATATCGTACTCACCTCTTCTCCGACGAGAATCATTTCTTTTCCGACGAAAGAGATTCAAAAGAACCGGAAGATAAGCTAAAAAAAGTGTCGGTTTTGCCACCATCATCTTCAGCTTCGTCTTCACTGCTAAACCACCCACTGTTGGAGGAGGAGCTTTTCTTGATCTTTGTCTCTTTACCACTTATCTCCTTGTGGCGATATTTCAATGGCGAAAAAGGTTTTACAGGGGGAAATGACTTCCTTCTTTCAGCATTACAATCGAAAAACTGGGTTTTGGGTTTCGAAACTTCCATGAGCTCTTTTGCAATAGTGAGATCATTTGGATTTTTGGGTTTGGTGAATGGAGGATAGATTTGTATTTTGGGAGAGACAAGGTGGTGTTCATGGAGATTTTTGGTGTTCCGAGTAAGGACGATGGAGCTTTCAATGACGTCCGATATGTTTCGGGACCGACAGGTAGTGAGAGATGAAGGAAGGAAGCGAGAGGCCGTGTGCCTTACTTGGTTCTCCATGGAAGGTTCAGAAACCTCATAGTGTACATTGCATATTTATATGCTAATAGGCGATTATGGTAAACATCTTGGTCTAATAATCGACATGGTATCTATGATACTGTATAAAATAATCTAAACATGGCATCATTTGATAAATCTATTTTACAATTTCAAATAGAATCATTTAATAATTATTAACGTCCCCTAAATTTTTATTTTTTATCTTACCATCCCTTAAATTTTCACCGTACCAAAAGGTTACCCTAGATCTACCTACTACAAAATTTTGTCCTTTCTAAAATGTTATTGTACTTCTTCTAATTCATATATGTGTACTCCATACAGAACACTGTCGTGAACATATATTATTGACACACTAAAAAGTAATGATATCATATTGAATTACTAGTTATTTTTCTTATAGTTATGTTTCTTGTTTCACGGTATAGACTAATAAAAAAAATTAATTAATAATAAATATATTTATATTTATATCCAAAATTAAATTACAAAAATAAATGAAAAAAAAAAAAATTTAAATATCGATTATAGTTAAGACAAGCAGTGGTAGTAATGGTGGACAACAATGGTTGTGGTGGGAGACGGTGATGTGCTGGTGCTGGTGCTAATAAGGGTGGTGGGGGCGGTGGTAGGGTTGGTGGAGGTAGTTGTAGTGGTGGGGTGACGGTAGTGGGGCAATGGGGGTGATGGTAGAGCAATTCAAAATACTTTTTTTTTTAAAGTAATTATAGAAAATTATAAATTTTAGAAGTATTTTTAAAAAGTTATATCAAACACACTTTTATGAGTCTATTTTTCTTATTAAATTTGGGGTGTTAATATTAACCGTTAGATAAACTTTAAAAAAAATTTAAAGAAATATCAACCGCAAAATAAAAATTATTTTATTTATCTTTTAAAATTTAAATTATATTATAATTTATTATATAAATTTTAAAATCTCAATTTTACTCTCTCTTTCACCTCGCCATCTGACCATTTCTGTTTCTGCTGTACCTCCTTATTTGACATCTCTCCTCCCCCCTTCCATCATCTCATTAATTTAAAATTTAATATCATTCACCCAGCATCAAATTGACTTTCTATTTCATCAATTTAAAATTATATTTTATTAAATTAACATCAAACTAACCTTTAACTTTATTAATTTAAAATTTAAATTTATCAAATTAACAACTAAGTAATATTTAATTTTATCAAGTTAATACCAAATTAACATTTTATTTCATCAATTTAATTCATAAAATTAACACCAAATTAATAATGAATTTAATCAATTTAAAAATTAATTTCATCAACTTGAAATTTAAGTCATCAGTTCCATTAATTTAAAATTTAATTTCATCAAATTGACATAAAATTGACCTTCAATTTTGTCAATTTAATATTAAATTTTCTTAAATTAACACCAATATCAAACCACTTAAGAGGCTGGACTTGTACATGCTATAACAGTTTTATATTGAAAATTGAAGATGTGGCAATTATTTAGGGTTTTTTTTTTTAGGGGTGATTTGGTAGTCATTATTTTGACAATCAATTTGTTTGATTTGTCTTTTTTTGTTACATGCTGTTCAAGTTTATGTTAATTATTCTCTCGAATTCAGCCGCTAACCACCATGAATTTAGCTAGTGTATAGCATATACCCCAAGCGATAAGGGTGGCTAGCACTTAGAGATTGTGAGAGGGATTGAACATCAAACTTCAATATTATCAAATAACAGACTCAATTATTATACCACCTCTAAGGGTTATTTGTTTGGTTTGCTTTGTTTGTCAATTTCTGGTACCCATAGCCATAATTTAGTGTGTGAAGAGAGAGAGGGAGAGGGACAGGGGGGTCTGGCTCGTCTGTGGTTGGGAAGTTACCGCATAACATGCAATTTAATGAAACGGCTGCGTTTCACTGTGTTTTTTGCTTTTTTTTTTACTAACCCTTACCAAAATGATGTTGTTTTGGTCCAACTAAAAATCAGATCTGAGATCCTTCTCCTACCTTCGGCTTCGTTTCAGGCGCTCCTCTCTCTCTCGCTCTCTCTTCTCCTACCTTCGGCGACAAAAAAGCTCCTATATAGGTTCCCTCTGTCGATATAAGTTTAAATAAGGATGTTCTCTGTTGCAGAGGAAATTTTCCTGAAATGCGGTTGTCCTCACAACCTCTGGGGGGACAGCGGAGTTTATTGTGAACTGTTCAGATTCTCTGTTAGTCGTTCATAGTAGTCTTTTCCATCTGTTGTATTTAGCTTTTGTAGAGATTTATTTTTCTCATTACATTTGGATTGATTGAACAAGAACTCTTGTGGTAATGCCCATTGCTTTGATGTAGACCAAGAGGACGAAGAAGGCTGGTATTGTAGGGAAGTATGGTAAGTTTCAATGTTGCCTATTTAATTCTGTTTTGTGATTTGGCCATCCATGTATTCACTTAACAATCGTGCTTCAAGATTGATGCATCTGTCCAGACCAACCCATCCCAATTTGAAGAAAATGTTGCTTCTGAGGATGAGAAATGTAATTTTGATGTTGAATATCGTTTAAAATTTGTCTCTTTTGTCATTATGTATGAGAATTTGAAGTTTGACTCCATTAAAGATATTAATTGTCAGATAGAGATGTGACACTTAGTCTAAAAATAGTCCAAGGCATAAAGTTCTTGTACAATTTTATCTCATTATTTTGAGTTGCATTCCTCTTGCAATATTAATGTGCAGTATTGTTGAGTATTGGGCTTAATTAGGATCATGATAGATTGAGGTCCTTAAAACAGGTCATGGAAATTGAGGTTCACAGATAAAAGTTTTATGAATTTAGAAATGCCTAAGTAGTTCGATTTCAACTTTAAGGGTTCAGTTTATTACTTGTTTTAGTTCAAGTATAAAACATTCTTGCTAGTATTTCAAAAGGAATCTGACTTTCACAGTCTTGACTTTCTGTACATGTTTCTTGTGTTATATCATATATGCAACTCATTATGATTTTAATTTATCTAGTTTCCTGTTATGGGAATTTCAAAATGCATGTACTTCTTATGATATGGCCTTAGTTCTATTACGATGATCAAATTGTATCTTGCACTTTAGGGGTTTCACTTTGCTGATTGCCACGATTTTTAGGAACCCGTTATGGGGCTAGTCTGCGAAAGCAGATTAAGAAGATGGAGGTTAGTCAACACAACAAGTACTTCTGTAAATTTTGTGGGAAGGTACAACCTTTCTTAGTTACAACAAGTTGGACTACCAAGTTCACAAATATTTTTGTTGTGTAAGGCCTTTTCTTAGACATTTTTGGCTGCATCCACAATTCCACATCCTCAGTCGTGAGATTAAGTACCCCTCCCCCCCCCCCCCAAAAAAAAAAAATCCTCTTTTAGAAGGGGTTATGGCTGCTGCCAAGGTGCCTGAGCATTTTTGCCTTATTCTGCTTAGTTTTAGACAATTGTGCATCACTTACCTTTTTTAAGGGCGCGTCTTTTGTTCTAATTGAAAATGTAATTGTTTGCAGTATGCGGTGAAGAGAAAGGCAGTGGGTATTTGAGGCTGCAAGGATTGTGGCAAAGTCAAAGCAGGCGGTGCTTACACATTGAAGTAATAAGACTTGGTCTTATTCCCACCGATTCTCTTGCGAGCTACTAATGCATTGTTTTGTTTCTCTTTTTTTTTTTCAATGCAATAGCACTGCTAGCTACTAATTTCTTGTTTTGTTTCTCTTCTTTTTCAAATGCAATAGCACTGCTAGTGCTGTTACAGTTAGGAGCACAATTCGGAGGCTGGGGGAGCAAACCGTGAGCTGAGCTAGCCATGGTCCTTCCAATGCTGATTTTGATACATGTTTACTAAGTCTTGGAATCAGACTTTGGCTTCTGTCATTACAATTTTAGAATTTTTAAGAAATCAGACATTGGACCGATGTTTTTGTTCAGACAATTATTGCATTTTTCTGATGAGCGGTACAAGTTCTAATTGCATTTAGAGTTTGGTTTATCACCGTTTACTTTTGTTCTTTTAATGTTTTGTGGAATAATTGTAATTTTGAGTCTATCTTCCAAAGGGGAGTTCTTGATTGCACCTTTCATGGAAGATTAAATAAATTGGAATTGCTGCCTTATGTTTCTTTTTTTCTGTATCCCACGTGTATTTGAATCATACTAGATATAGTGACTACTAATGGTTTGAGAAATGCTAGTGGGCAAATGGTCTGACCTAAACTGTAAACATCTTATTACATTGGGATATAACAAGCAGCAAGGTTCTCTCTTTATGACTGACTACGCTCTAAAAATCTCAAACAGTAAGCCGTATTGATATGGTTTGTGTTGCTATGTTGGGTTAATGGTTTTGCGTGCGTTTTGCATCCGGGAACTCTGGAAATAAGTTGTTCAACCACTTAGAGAGACCAAACATTATCAAGAACAACAAGTGTTCGCATAACGGTCTTCAAATCATATTTTAGTGGCCATTGGGGAATCAAACCACTGCAATCATCAACACAATTCCCTGATATCATTCTCTAAATCTTTAGCCTTAGCCTTAATTGATATGGAAATAGTTATTGCGAATTTGATTGTCTCTACAAATCTCCCTGGCCAAAGTGGTCTTTCCACTTCCACTAATCCCACAAATCCCAACAACACCCAAATCGTCCCTCCTAATCACCATCTCCTTCACCTTCCTCTTCGCCATCTCCATCCCTGCCCCCACACCCAAATTTACCAAACCACCCTCGTACCACCTCTCTTTTTCCTTCACCCTCTTCACCGCCTCCTCCAACCACCCTCCCTCATGAACCCCCATCTTCATCGCTCCAAGCCGCTGCTCCAACCTTCGAGCCGAACCCTCAAGCCGATCAAACCTCTCCGCCGAATCGAACCTTAGATGATGCACATGAGCTTGCACAGTAGTTTGCAAGAACCTTGAAATATTCTTTTCAAGCTTCTCCACCTTTCTCGCTAATTGAAAGTTCTTGTACACGTTCCAGCGGTCGGAATTGAGGACTTTTTCGGCGAGCTCAAGGTGGGAGAACCAGACCCGACGAAGAAGTAGCAGGAGAAAGAAAAGGGAGGGGGTTTGATGCTGATTTAAAGAATCAAAACGACGTCGTTTTGGTAAGAGGAAATTTTTTTTAAAAAAAAAAGCAACAAGCAACAAGCAAAGTGAAACGCCGACGTTTTATTAAACTGCATGGTATGCGGTAACTTTCCAACCGCAGACGAGCCAGACCAGGGACAAGGACAGGGAAAAGGAGAGAGGAAAAGTAGTTATAGTTTTGACATTTGAGAGCGAATGGGGAGAGAGAAAAAGTGGCGAGGGCACGATGGTGGTGTTAATGGCATTGGTTGTAATTGTAGTGGTAGAATTAATTAGATTAATTATTAAAATAAAATAACAATTGTTTAGATAAGTAGGAGGTTATAATATTAAATTAGACTTCACTTGAATTTAAAAGTAAATTTGATTTAGTTAATGCAATTGATTAGGATCATGGTGAAATTTAAAATAAATTTAACATAATCAAGGATGAATAACTAAATTCGATTTATGTTATGTTATACCGGTAAATATATGAATTTAATAAGGGTATGAACGTAAAAGTGTCACTTTCATTACTATCCTCAAGGTACAAACAGTGACAATGAAATTTTAGAAAATGCAAGGGATATCTTTATATTTAGGCTTATCTATAGGGGTGCGAGTAAAATTTATCATAAGTTGAATGGTTCTGATGGCGATATATCAAATCTATTTAATATTAAACTAGTAATTTGAATTATATATATTTAATAAAAGTACAATAATAATTGAGATTAATCTAACTTCACTGAATGGTTCAAAATTTATTCAAAAAAAAAATTTATGCCCAAAGTCATATGTTATCTGCACACCACTAATGTCAGATACTTCAATCAACACACTTCACAACGTCATCAAACCACTAATCTACATCTACTTCTTTTTTTTTCTTTCTCCTCTATCTTTTTCTTATTTCGTTATTTCAACTTTAATTTTAAATTGTGTAATTAAAAAATTAAAAAGAAAAAAAACTATTAGTTAAAATATAAATATTGTACTATCAATATTTGATATTGTAAAATGTTTTTAGACACGAAAGTATAACTAGTTAAATCTTACAAGAGACGTTTATGTATTGAATTATCGGTTATCCAACTTTGAAACAAAATCCATTTTTATTTTCTTTGCAAAGTTAAATTTAAATATGTTAATATTTGACCAAGTTATGTTATATGACAAGATTGAAATAAATTCGGATATAGACCTTAAAATTAAAATCCATGAAATAATCGAATCAAATTCGAATTAAAATTTCCAAAATAGAATTCAGCTTCAAATTTGGTTGATTTGATATGTTGACAAGGTAGGTATGAATGTAACGAATGTTAGACCAAACTTAAATGACATTTTGGTGATTTAAAGTTAGAGGGTAAAAAAGTTAGCACTTCTTGATAGTAAACTATCGAGAATATGATTTAATTGTCTTAGTAAAATTAGAATAGGACAAAATGGCTTTGATCGGAAAAAAGTATGACTTATTCGTAATTCCCCTCCAAAAAGTATGACTTATTAATTTTCTCATTTGTTATTTCTTCAAATCATGGATTTCATCCCCTATTTTTCCAAATCATGAACACAAGGATGACCTTTGCTTGGATAAGTAATATATATCTTGAATGCTCAAACAGAAGTTGTACATTTCCAAAAAATAATATCATTCATTATTTTTTTAGAATTTTTTTAATAGAAAAAAATTAATTTATGTATTTAACATGATAATTTTTCATCGGGGGTGCATACCACTTAAAACTACCACGTGACATGTTAAACTCAATCTAACTTTTTTTTTACAAATTTTTTATCATAGAAATTTGGGTTATCATAAAGGATCCTTTCTCAATCAAATATGAAAATCAGATAAAAATCAATGGATTTTGACAGAATTTAATATAACTAATGGTCAAATTGACACAAGAAGCTGATTGATGGTTTATTACAATTCATTTACGCAACATCTCCCTAATAATAATGAATTGTGGTTCTAAATTTAGAGGTGTCAATTGTGTTGTGTTCGTGTGACCTGCATGTCGTGATATTCGTATCATTTTCATGTTAAAACGTATGAAAAAAAAAATTAATTGTGTTACGAGTATTAAACATTAGTCTAAACTATTTATAATACATATTTAATACTCATGTCAATTTTGTAATCGTTCGTGTCAGGTTCGTATCAACGGGTCAAAGTTGACACCCTACTTCTGATCTTCACTTGGCATGGTAAAGACTACGGTACTCAAACAATAGGTATTTTTATAATTTTTTTAGGACCATTTTACAATAAATTTATTGTTTTATCATTTTTGCAGATAATGTATAACTTTTATGGGTGCTTTATCACTGTTATGGTAATTATTTTTATTACTTTTGTGATACTTCTGATCGATCTTAAGAATCGTAAAAACAGTTACAACACAATGGTAACTGTTTTCATAGATACATTCAAAGATATGAATCCTAATATAGAACCAAAATGGTTAATACGCCATCAACGTATTAAGTTTTAAAGTTGTATTGAGATAGATTAAAAGGAAAGTTTCCTAGTCTGTTGCGATGTAAGAGAGATTTTTACTTTGTTATTTGGACCATAAGAGTATTTTCTTCTACACTAGGTTGTTTGGAATCTTGATTACTCAAGAAGTCTTTGGTATGTCTTGAATTATTATGTAAAAATAGAACCATTTGGTGCTTCATGATCTTTTTTTAGCAGACATGAGAGGTTTACACTATGTTTGTCAATCGTTCGGGTGAAGCGGGTTCGTATCAAAAAACACTTTACTTATAACTTATTTATTTATTAATTCGTGTCTAACGAGTTATGTCATTGCGAGTTCGTATCGTGTTTCAATCATGTTTATTCGATATATAAACAAGTTGTGTCGATATTTATTTTGATTGGTTTCATCCTTATAATTTTCCTTACCAGTCTTGTTTAATGAGAAGTTAACATCTTCATTGACCATCAGTCTTAATATAGTACCAATTGGGACATGACTGGACCAGTTTTAGGTTATTTAATGCAAAAAATATATATTCTTTCAATCACAATTATTCATGCTACATCAAAATTACTTCTTAATTTCATACTTCTCTTTTTTATTCATTAATCCAAATGTGACCCACGAAAAAAATATATTATTTTGTTATTTCAACTTTTTAGTTTATTATTTTCATGTTCAATGGTTCTAATGAATTCAAACAAAGATCTGCCTACGGCTTAGGTTTGTTTTTCGGTATAAAACTACAAAAGTAAACTTCCATTAATATACAGTAATCCACATATATGTATATATATTTAGCATCTCTAATTGGATACTCTTACTTTTCTTTGCACATTTTATTATCGACTAGGGGTAATCCGTACCTGAAGAGACGATGCAATATAAATGATTTTGAGAGAGATATTAATAGTCGTTAAATGAGTCTATTTAAAACCGTCGGATGAACTTATTAAATTTTATATTATAGATTTTTCCACTTTGTCCTCTCTTGAGTTTGCTAATTAATTAATGTTTTGGACAGACAACACCCACACACAGTTTTGTCATGGGTTTGGGTAAATTTGAAACAAACATAGTTGAGTATAATGCTAAGAATTTGATAATCCGAGGGAATAAACTGGTGTCAATATCTAATTTAGGACTACTAAGTGTAATTTTACCATATAATATATCTAGACCTTAACTTTTTTTAGCATCTAGGTCAGGGTTGCAAGTTAATTTTGGACTTTTTCCCCCATGTTTCAAAATTCAAACTTGGATTCAACCTATATTATCATCTGATTCATATTTTATAATTAATAGCATGATATTTTCCCAAAATCCACATGGTAATCCTCTTTTTTTTTTTTTTGTGGGGGTTTTGGTGGGTGGGGGAGGCATTTGTGACCAAAAAGGGCTTCTGGGATATCATATTTTCAAAGGAAAAATGGAACATTTCTGCTGCCACTTTTCCCATAACACTATATGTCTATATGCTTATGTCCTATTCAAATTTCACATGGGTAAAAGACAAGGAAATGACTAAACTTTCCTTGACCTGGGCACTGGTTATATCTTCTCTAGGCACATTGGGTCTATGGCCCTCAAGGAGCTGACTCTATTTTGTCAATCTCTCTCCCCAAAAAGGGCATCTCAAGCTCTTTAGAAAATTCCAAACAGGGTTAAAACACAGGAAAAACAAGTTTTGTAGTGCATTTCAAATCCCTTTTTAAGTCCAACCAAAAGCTAAGAGACAGATTGGTTGGTTGGCTGGCTTCATTTTTTCATGGGTTGGCGAGTTTATTGACAACATAAGTACAGTGAAACTCACTTTTGCAAGGCGGAAAAGATTATGATACCAAAAATTACAATATCTTAGCGATTTAGGAATGACCACAACTATGTTTTTGTAAGTAACTTGACATTTTTGTACTTGGTTCAAATTAAATCGTAATTTTTTAATCAAATTGAATTGTAATCTCATCTATATTTTGTATTACTTTTCATTATGATACTACTAAACTGGATACTTTATTGTTAGTTGTATATGGGTTTTTGAATTTGAATAATTTTTTTATTCTTAATTTTGGTGTTTTTGTTCAGAACTTGTCCTGACCCTCATCCCTAAAGATCTGACAGTGGAGAAATGGTGTGGATTTTGGTGGGATTTGTCCTCTTCATGGTGTAATTATCCTCACAAAAGGTGTCAAAACCCTATATGGCCGAATAATTTTTTCATAATGCATGACGTTAGTATGAAGTAGTCAGGGTACAGATTTTTCTTCTTCTTTTTTTTTTATAGGGTAAGGTGGGGGGTTAATTTCTTGGTACTAAAACTCTCAACCTGATAGCTTGATTCCTATTGAAATTATTAATGACTACTAATTGTCGTGTTGCCAATGGCTTATGCTGAAGTAACTAACATATATTGTGGTAGTGTGGCAGATTTGAATTTGAATCATCTCAGTTCTTGCTACCATTAGACTTATTTAGTGAATCCTTAAGTGAGAGGAGTGATAAGAGCTTTTTTTTTTTTTTTTACTAGTAGCAATATCAAAAATTGAACTAATTTTACAATATTTGTATTTTAAATAATAATTTAATTTTTTTAATTACGCAATTTAAAATTAAAATGAAGAGAAAGGTAAGTATGAATTGATGAGATTGTTTGACAATGAAAAGTATTTTGATGGAGTTATTTGACATTGATGGTTGTGGAGAGAAGTTGATATTTTTGGGCCAAGAATTTCTTTTTTTGATGAATTTTGTATCATTGAATCAAAATAAATGAAAATTAGATAAATTTTGACCGTTGTTTTTCTTTTATAAGTTGAGAATTCAACTTTTTAACTGTAATATTAGATAAACTATCAATTATCCGTGTCTGAAGATATTATGTAACTCAAAAAAAATTGCAAGTATTTGCCCATGCACAAAGACAATGTATAACACTCATTTTGACAATTGTCAATCAATAAGAGCTCACTAATTTTTTTAAAACAAATTCAATTGATTTTTTTTTTTTAAAAAAAAACGGACCTTTGAAAGGTGTTTGGC